TGAATTATTTTGGGTTTAAAGACACGAAATGAATGATTTTGGATTAAAACATTTTAGGGAAGGTTAGAGATATGGTTAAGGCTTAAGAAAAATTCACGAGACTCCTTAACTCTTTACCGAACTCGTAAATCAGAACGTGAAATGTACTCATCACTAGGTTTGGTTTTTGGGGAAACACGATCAGGTGTCTACACAACCAATTTAGCCTAATCTAGTTTGGAGCAAATTGAATCTTTGTTTGTATGCCTTTGAGATTCTAGGAAATAATTTTCCCTATAAGAATCAAGTAGAGGCCAATATGGGCGAATGTGACTCCATGACTCACTTCGTACCATCATCCCCGATCCTCCTTTCATGGTTCCGAACCATATAGAGTTAGTAATCTCATGGATTATGAATGGGGTGTAACCTTCATGGGTCAATCGATGTTGCTTATCGTTGTCCCTTATCCGTGGTTGCCTTAAATGATCCGTGAACGGTTTACAGGTTCCTTAAAAACTTATTGGCGGCTCTCTACTTTTTTTGTCCCTAATCGTTGTCCCTAATCGTATATGTCAATTCCCACTTCCTATGATTGTCAATCATATTCACACATGCTTAAGTAGGCGTATTTCGAATGACGCCTACAGTTGCTATGTCTTTGAATTGGGAGTTACATCAGATGGATGTTCGTAATGCTTTTCTTCATGGTGATTTGGATGAAGAAGTACATATGCAGTTTCCTCCAGGGTACGGTACTCCGACACCTGGCAAAGTTTGCAGGTTGCGAAAGTCTTTAAAATCCAATTGAATAAATAACAACAACGAAAAACACAATCACATAGCTTACTTGTCCAGGTTCAAGCTGCAACGAAAGACAAAGATAAAAAGTAGATCGATGCAAAGATGAGAAGAGTGCAAAAATTCGCAAGGAGAGAGAATATGCAGGAGGAGAGAGAAAATGTAATGAAGAGAAAGAAAGTGAAAATGAAAGCCGGGTAGATTGAAGCCGGTAGTCATTCAAAATGAGGAATTACCATTACACCCTTAATAAAGCGGGTGAACTACTGGCCGTCAGATGAAGCGCAATGAACGATCTAGATGAGTTCCTAGTTCCTATTATTCAACATGGTTCTCACAAGATCTCAGTTCTATATATATACTTCCTCTGTTCTAGTAATATTGCAACAACTAGACTTTTGCACTATTCATCATGATTTATACATAAAGTAAAATATAGTCATGTGGGTTTTTGTTAGATTCGTCTCGTAAAATACTTTCACAATATCAACTTTTTATAATTTTTACTCTTATATAATTATAAATATTTAACATATAAAATGTGCTTTGGGATGTGTAATTTCATCCTTGTTGCAATATTTGTAGAACAGAGGAAGTATATTAATGTCCAATTTTAATGACTAAGCATGTGACCAATAGTGACTAAGTAATAGATTGACATATTTTGTTGATCAAATATATATATATATATTAGATCAACAAAACATGTCAATCTATTACTTAGTCACTGTTGGTCACATGCTTAGTCATTAATATTGGACATTATTGCTTTGTTGAATCTTCCACCGACACCACCCACCTTTCCCGAATCTTCCACTGGCGGACGGCATGGGACAAGGGGGGACAGTTGTCCCCCTACTTTTGCTTACTGATTTATACCAAATGAGATGGTGTAACGCTCAAAGTCCCGCGAGTAGAGTCTTGTGGATGCAAGATCAAACCCTTGTGAGTTCATTTAACCCCCTATTTTTGAATTGTTGACTTGCAACATTATTAGAACGATCAATTGTTGACTTTTTGGTTAGTAAGATGAGTTATTCAAGGGATTAGAGTTTAAACCTCACTGCAGCTGCCATTTTACTTTCTTTTTGTTTTAAATGTATAAGATAGTATTCCTTTAACTTTTTTTTCTTAACAACTACGCCATATACTATTTGAATAATTATAATTATAGTTTTGCATGAACAGTACCCAAATTACAGTTGTAATAGAATATTATGACAAGTGCATATAATTAGTTATATTATTTAATGTTCGATTTCTTCACAAATTCTAAACCCATAAGCATATATCTATGGAGGAAGAATTGGTACATGATGTTAGATTTTTTTACGAAATACTCTGTATTGTGGAAATTTGAGTTGTAATACTTTATAAATTTAAGTATTTGTGTGTTCCAACATTTTAGTTAAACTAAGCAATGTCCATTTGTCCCTACGGTTTAAAATTTCTGGCTCCGCCACTGATCTCCACCCAACATCTACTGATTCCACCATTTTCGACACCATCTGCTTCGTCACCATTCCATCAACACCATGTTCTTCCCCTCCACCTTTTACCGACAACATCACGTAAGCCGATTTTGTGGGAGTTTTCGTGGGTTTGTGAAGGTGGGTTTTGTGGGTTTATGGGCTTGTAGGGTAGGTGTTGGTAGGTTGGAAGAGTTTTTCAGAGAAGGTGGGGGTGGTCTTGGTGAGTTTTTTGGTTTGTTGAGGTGGTTTTTATGGGGGTGGTTTTTATGGGGTTTGTAGAGGTGGGTTTCGAGAACATCTGGGCTTGTTGGGGTTTATAATTCGTGTGGGTGGTGGGTGGTTAGTACTGTAAATCTGGGTGGGGTAGGTTTCGTGTGTAGGTAGGGTGGTTTGTACGGTGATTGGGTTCAAGTGGGGTGGTTCATACGGTGGGTGATAAGTCGATATTATACCATTATTTTTGGGCTATTTGGGATGCGTTTACTATAAAATTTCAACATATAGTTCGTGTTTCTGTATGTTTTATCCAAGTTGGACTCGATTTCTTCTATTATGGTTGTTTGGTTGTTATGTTGTGATTTCAAGATGAAGTAGAGCATTTGGAGTGATGATGAATATACTATGACATTTTGAGATGGATTGGTGAACTTCATAAGATGATTTGCAAGTCATGAGAAGCCGTATGTTGGAGTGCAAGATGATGACAATGCTACATGGTCGTGTACCTCTAACTACACGGCCATGTGATATTTCCCACGTACAATTATTTGCTACATGGTTGTGTACCATGAGTTACACGGGCGTGTGATATCCTTTTCATATGAACTCTGCCTACACGGTCATGTACCCATTAACTACACGATCGTGCACATACATGACGGAATTTGGGATCAAGTAGAGACTAGCTACACGGTCGTGTACCCATCAGCACAGGATTGTGTACGTGTACGCAGAAGATAAATTTTGTTTTTTATTTAATGTTTATTTTTAGGAAAGTATAAATAGAGTTTTAACCCTATTTTCAGAACATCGTATTTTATATATATGTTTTTTCTATTCTATGTTGTTTTATGAGAGAACACATAAAACTCTATTGAAGCATTCAACTTAATTCAATTTCAAGTATTTCTCTTTCATATTTAATCTCTTTAATCTTCAATTGTTATTATGTATTCTCTAACTAATTGTTTTGTTATTTCTATCATCATGTGTGAGTAGTTCCTATTCTAAGGTTAGGTTGAACCCTAATATGGATTCATGTGTCAATTGATTCTTTTGTTAAGGTTGGTTTTATTATCAATAATTGATAGAGATAGTATTATTGAATGTTGTTAGGTTTGCAATGAAAGTTTATTCTTAATTGATTTTAGAACCCTAATTAAAAGTAAGAACCTTTATGCATAAAAATAACTTATTGTTCTTGCTAGGACTTATAGGATGTCGTTCTTAATTAATGTCTTTAATATGTATGACTCCATGAAAATAGGTATGACAGCATGTTAGGGAAGCCATTTGTTGATCGAAAGAAACTCTTAGTATTATTTTATGGAGCACCCGTCCTGTGGAATATTCATTGATTTAATTGAGGGAAAGGGATTGTTTAGTGCATTGATTCGTATTAATGGAGATACTTAATCTTAGATGTCTTTAGTTCTTGATTAATTCTGTATTATTTTCATTACTTATTAGTTAATATTTGTTTTAGTATAGATTTCTCAACTTTGATTTGGTTCCTTGCTTAGTATTAATTTGAGTCATTTTAATTAGTTAATCCTTAGTTTCTTGGGATTCAACCCCTACTTGCTCAGCTACATAATAGAGTTAGTTCCGTTTTTTTTTTTATTTAGGTACGTGACACGCCTATTAGTGGGTGGGTGGGTTGGTTTAGTTGAGTTTCGTGGGGGTGTGTAAAGTGGTTCGTGGGCCTGGTTGGGTGGGTTTGGGTAGGTTAATTGCAGGTAGAAATTAATTATTCTTTGATCGCATACCCCTTCCATCTATTGATCATCATTTAGAAATTGCACCTAGAAGTTTGTGTTGAGACTCAGAGTTGCAAATAATACTTAATTGAGGTAGTAATAAGAAAAAAAAAAATTAAAAAAAAATAGTGGTGGGTTTGGGTGAAGATTATTAGAAAAGAGATCTATAATATTAAAATGTAGTTTTTTTTGAAGTGTAACATTTCAAAAAACTTAGTTGTATTTAATAAGTATAACACTTAAAAAATCATGGAGGAGTAAAACTTTGACTAATGATATTTTCTACTATCAATAAGTATACATATTGTATAAAGTATCAACAATTACTCACATGAGACATGACTATATTTTTTTTTTATTATACTCATAAATAAGAATAACTCTTGGTGTATAGGGCCTATATATTTGGCAACAACTAGGATGGCAAACTGTAAATATCAACATATGTATAAAGTACCACTAGATTAATAAATAGTACCATTAAATGGTGTAAGGTAAAAATATTTTTCTAATGATACAAATAAACATGTAAATGATACATCATAAATTATATCATGGTGAGATACAATAATATGGACTACTATAACAACTTATACTCTAATAGTATTATATACATGTATAGTAGTACACAAAAAATACGACTGCAATCTTAAAAAAAAAACGCCTTTTTAAACATTAAATTACTATATTAGCCTCTTATGTGTTTTGGAAACACATAGAACTATGTACCAAGATGCGCTCTATAAATAATAACATTGGTCAAAGTTGCTTATGTAAATAGTGCAAAAAGTCGAAATGGCATTTTTATTGTAATACTAAGAGCAGGGAATATCACACTATTACCATGTAACTTCAACCAACTATCAAAATGAATAAACCAATAATGTTCAATTTCTCAATCAACAACAAAAAATAAATAATAAAAGGGTAATTAATACATAAATTACTAATGATAAAATAACAAGCAAAAATATTGCAATCAACGTTACCCTTCAAGCTCAAATAACCCTTTTCAATATAGATGAAATTCCCATATTACCCTCACCTCAAAACCCAATTAAGTCAAGTGTACAAGGGCAAATCCGTCCAAGCACCAGAAACATGACCATTTTCACAAACATAAGCTCTAACAACAGGCTCACCATCATCATGAAACCCAAACCCTCTCTTCAAACAAAACGCTGAGTGCAAATCCCATGTCTCTTTACAACTACAAAACGCACAGTTTAGATGAATACTACTCCGATTCCCGTCGTTTATCGTTCGCCACACTCGAGTTCGCTTGAAGTTCTTGAACACACCTCTAAACAACATGTAATTCCGCTTGTCGTCAATGTGAACACACCCTGGCCATTCACTTATATACAAACAATCGTCTCGAAATCGACTCGCTAACAATTTACTTCCTTGCTCCCTACTAAGATTCCACACTCCTGAAGCCAGATGAGACCGTTGCGGCCTCCAGACCTTACGTCTCTTGGCCGTCTCATTGTTTTCGTTATTAGTAACGATAAACTCCGAGTCTAGATTCGCCACCCCTGTGGTTATCTCCATAGGGGTGGTGGAGTCGGAGTTGTCATAGATTGTATCGAAGTACAAATCATCATATAATGACCAACCCCCGCATTCGGGGTTATTACCATCGTCAATTTCATTCGAGTTAATATCGGTTACAATCTGGGTTTGGATACCATCATCGCCCTTGACGGTTGGTTCCGATGTTGACGATGATAACAACGAATTAGAGATCATATTGGTTTCGGTTTCAGATTTGGTTTGGATTAGGGTTTCGAGTTGTAGATAATCTTCGGTAGCTCCGATTTCGCGGCCGAGGCCGAAATCGAAGTTATCGAGCAAAACCCCGGCATGGAGGAGGCCAGGGCAGCAAACAGCGTTCTTCAACAAAGAAGCCCAACCGTCCGACGACGATACCGAAAGAAGATCGGAAGAAACAGAAGGAAGAAAAGAGAGACATTTGGATCTACAACATACCGTAGATATCAATGAGCTAAACTTCTTACAAACGCAAGACAAACGCGCCCAGTGGCGCGGATCATCTTCTAATAAGAAGAATATCTTAAGGGTTACGTCGTCGGATAGCTTTGAGAAGGTGTTGTCTGTCATTGACGCTTATCGTTGATGTTAGAGTTTGACGGTGGTGTTGTGGTGGGGATTTTGATGAAGGAGAAAACAGAGGGAGGAAAGAGATGAGAGATGATGATGAAGCGGAGAAAAATGGAAGGGGTGTTTAGTGTTAGTTAAGTTGGGAAATTTGTGGAGGGAAATGCATGAAGAGAAATGTTGGTATCGTGTCAATATCTGGTCCAAATAAGCAAAGTTAGGGTGGGTCCTACAATTTTATATTCGTCTATTTTCCTAAATGCTACTAAATACTTACAAAATTCACCAAATGGTAGTCAAATGTCATCAAGATTTTCAAAATTCACCATATACTATTAATGACTAACGGTCATTAACTCCATTAGTCATTAAGATTAAATCATAACACGTGTCATAATATGATTGGTTTATTTTAATCATTTATTTTAATGAATAAAAAAAAAATTTCGATTTTCGTGACAAAAATTGTTCGGGTAAAGTTTTAGGGTTCATTTTGATTCTTTATGGATGCAAATTAAGCTTAGAATTGAAAAAAAAAAACGTTAATGCCTTGTTTTGTGTGTTGAAAATATCTCGATTACCGTGTAGTTATTTTTTTAACCTTGAAAATTGATCTAGTAAGGGTTTGGGGTCATTTTGAATCTTTATGGTACAAATTAAGGTCGGAATTTGCAAAAAAATAACGTAATTGCCCTATTTTGTATGTCGAGATCGTAATTTTTTGCCAGAAAAATTGCAAAATAGAGCATTTATGTTATTTTTTTTTGCCAATTCCAAGCTTAATTAGAAACCATAAAGGGTCAAATGACCCCCAAAACCTTACCTAATCAATTTTCATGGTTAAAAAATAACGTCACGCTATTCAATTAATTTTTCAAAATAATGGCATTTGGTGAAATAAGAATTGCATTAACAGAGAACTAACGTCCCTATGCAATTAATAGCACGAGGTGTTATTGTACTGTTTGTCAGTGGCATTTGGTGAATTTTGAAAACCTTAATTGCATTTGATGAAATTTTTTAAGTACTCAGTGGCATTTGGTGAAATAGCCGATTTTTATATTTATTGGTTGTATGTGAGTGTGAGAGAATAGTGTTCTGATGGTTTTATTCTGGTTAGTATTAAAGCATGTGTTATTAAAAAAATATAATATAATAATTTAACAAGTTGTAAGTATGAAGAATGAGGATGAGTACATCTGGTTGGACTAAGAAGCTGTTGATTTGCTTGGTGTACAAAGTACACGATCCAATAGTTAATAGGTTGTGTATTACTATAAGTAGGGGTGAGTAAAAATTCCGGGTACTCGTAATTAAAATCGGAATCGATTAAGAATCGACAGGTCCGGAACCGGAATTGGATCTGGTGGTTCCAATTTCAGGTAATAAATTAACGAATCGGTTGCAACCGGTTACAATTTCAATTCTCAATTTTTTGGACTCGGAACCGGTTGGGTATCCAGTTACTCAATATATATTAAACTAAATATATTTATAAAAAAAAACAAAAATATGTTGAATATATCTAGTTAGTAAAATAAAAAATATATATTATTAATACCTAACATAAAAAATAGCTTCATAATTATATAAATATAAGTATTAAACGCTAGAAATAGAAATAGATCAAAATAAGTATTATAATTTGTATTAAATTAAAAAAATTATGTATATAAGTGGGTACCCGAAACCGGAACCAGTATCCGGTGATTCCAATTCCAATTCCTAAACCCGCTAAAATTGATTCCAATTCCAATTCCGAATTTTAGGACCTAGTTCCAACCAATTTCGGATCCGGTTCCTAAGATTTTAACTGGGTACCCAGTTTGCTCACCCCTAATTATAAGGTAATGTTGCATGCAAATTCAACATGGTGGCATAGAATCATTGAGAGAGTGAGAGAAGTATTTTACTATGCCATCTTAAGTTGCATTTAGGTAACAGTTATATTCTTCTCACACTCACTTATTTATAAATATCGCAATCGGGTCGTTCGGGTTGGGTTGAAATACATGTATGGAATCAAGTTAGTTTGAATCGGGTCATTCCGGTTTTAGTTATGTTTGGATTGATAGATAATCCATAATAGGGTCGAGTCAAGTATTGGGTTTAGATTCTAAATCCATTCGGGTTGAGTCATTTAGAGTTAAGACTTCTAGGCAAGTTAAGAATTGGTCGATACTTTAGTCAAGCTCGAATCCATTACACTTACACATTACAAAATAAAAGATATAAAAATTCATATCGACGATCAAGCAATTTTCGATTTGAGTTTGTTCGGATTAATTCAGGTCTAGTTCGGGTTAGAATCGGGTCGGGTGACTTCATGTATCGGCTAACTTTGGATAGGTCGAGTCGGATCACTTCAAGTATCTAATCAAAGGGGGGTCAACTCCACTTCGGGTTGGGTCGGGTTGGGTTTCAACTCCAAGTTAGATCTCGAGTCGAGATATATATATACATATACTTCCTCTGTTTTTTTTTAAAAGCAACACACCTTTTTGACACGCTTTTTTAGGAAGTGATTCGAATAGGTAAATGAGCTACTTTATCAAAATAATTTTAACACCACGATTAGAGAAAATATGAGTATAAATTATTATGATTAATTTGTCTGCTTACCTACTCTAATCACCTCCTAAAAAGCGTGAAAAAAAGGTGTGTTGCATTTAAAAGAAAACGGAGGAAGTATATATTGGTTTGGATCATTGTATGGAGCAGTTTTGTCGGGTCTAGCTAATAATACTTCCACCGTTCTTTTATTATTGCACCATATAGGGTGGGCACACTTTTTTGGTAGTGGAAAAAGGAAGAAAGAGAGGAATAAAAGTACAAAATTATCCATATGATGTAAACATAAACTAAAAAATTAAGTGTTAAAAGTAAGGGTATATTGGGTATTTACAGTGTGAACACATATATTTTGTTTCCTTAAATGGATATGGTGTAATATTTGTGAAACTTCCTTAAAAGGCAAGTGGTGCAATAATAAAAAAAAAACAGAGGAAGTATAAGATATACAATAATAAGTTTATATAAGGGTTAATCATATACATTCATAGAAGGGTTGATATTTGATAAAGTTTAAATAGGATTAGAGTAAGGATTATTGAAAACCCATTAAAATATTATAAATGGTACAATTACACATAAAAAGTGGAGGGCAAATGAGTATTTAAATTGTACAGTAAGGGTAATTTTGTCCAAAATTAATGACTTAATAAGGAAGGATCCTAAATGTAAAGAATAAAAAGGAACACTCTAAATGCAAACGTAAAAAATAAAAGGGAACGGAGGGAGTATTAGTTAAGATATGTTAAGGTTTTTGTGAAAAAAAAAAGGATATGTTAAGGTAAGATATGGATAAGACAATGTAGAGTGCATATCAGCGCATAGCACCTATTGACAAACGAAGTGTATAGGAGGGCAGAAGCGTAATTTACCAGGCATTAGAAAATTTGAATATTCCACTTAAACTGTGACAGTGGTACATTTAATACTCCGAAAATGTACCATTGAAATCGCATTGGTACATTTAATCAAAGTGGTACGTACGTTTTGTACTTTGAATTATACCACTAGAAAACCAGTGTCATCCTATACACTTTCTAAGAACATAGGTACTATGCGCCATTACTTTTCCGACAATGTAATACTTGGTAAACGGGCCAAATAAGATAAGAAGAAATAAATTGGAATGAACAATACCTTAGTAAACTAAAGTAATATTCCCTCTATCTCATATTAATTGACATACATGTTAATACACTAATTTAACCTTAAATATATAGAATTTAATATTAGTAAAAACAATATAAAATATTGATATTATGAAATTTATGTAACTCAAAATTGGAAGGTTTCTTTTTTTTTTTTTACTGATAGAACAATACTCCCTCCATTCCATAATACTTGAAACGTTGGAGTGGACACGTAGTTTAAGAAAATTACAATCGGGTCTATTTAAAATATTTGTTTATTATATAAAAGATTCTCTTTTTGTATTTTTATATTAGAAGAAAACAACAAGTTGGGTGAGAGTAGGGTAGGTGAGGAGAGAAAAAATGTGAGAAAATATTTTTTTAATAGTGGTCTCATTCTATATTTAATAACGTGTCAAGTATTGTAGAACGGACGAAAATAGAAAATGTGTCAAATATTATGGGATAGAGAGAGTACTTTAGTGGTTAATAAAATCACTTTATTGGTCATATGACTCATATCTCATTATCTCACATAAAGTTCATCACTTTTATTTATCTTATTATGTAGTACAACCTTTGTCTTATGCAAACATTAACGCTACGTATATTAGGAAAATTGTTGAACTCACTAATAAGTGTTCAATTTGAATTAAAACATCTTACTTCAGATTAGGGTTTCAAGTAACATATTCACTAAAGTACAAAAATAAAGTGTAATAATTTATTATATTTTTATTCTAATAATATAGTAATAATAAAATAATAGAAGCAACTTTGTCTTTCTTTAAAAAAAAGAAGCAACTTTGTATATGGGCTAATTAAGGAAAGATATACAAGGCAAAATCTCTTGGTAAGTAAACATAGATGTGGTCCTAATGCTTAGAGATTAAATTAGCGTCCATAAGACGTAATCCCAAGAATTTAATATACATAAAACTATAAAATAAGATTATATGTCTTCCTTATAACCGTCTTCTATCTATTTTTTTCTCTATGATTCTTCAAAAAAGTGTTTTATAGGCCGGAAATAGTCATAATTTTCCGGAAATTTGGCTATTTTTGACCCTTTCCCTTTTATTTCTTTATGTTTTTGTTATTGAGTTCAATAAATCTACACTCTTTGAAGGAAGTAAGTACCCCTGTAGTGGGTTTGAGTGTAGAAAGTGCCCCTATAGTGGGCTTTGTTCTAGTTTTGTTTTTGTTTATTGAATTTAGTATGATACAAGTTATTTCATGGGAAAAGATTTGTGTGGAATCGAAAAAGAGGTTAATCCTTCGATTACAAACAGATGAATCAGACGAAAATTTTCTTCACGACTACAACAGATCAATAGATCTCCTCGTCGAAAAAGACTATAAATATACGATTTGCAACAACGATCTTAGCTCTGCTGAAAGAAAGCTTTTATTTGATTCAATTTTCTGATTCAATTTTCATGTCTTTATTAAATTTAAATCTCTTTGTATATGTAGTATGACTTTTAATTTATAAATCAATATTTATTCAAAAAATAAATAAATAAATAAAATTATATAATAAGCTTCGTGAAAATCATTTCATATAATATGACCGATAATGTTAAGTTGGATAGTGGCATGCCCATGTGCTTTAATCTCTATCCATTTGCTTCCTTTTTCTAGTATTCAATAAATGTATGGCTTCAATTGTATCTACTGTTTCATTACTTCCTAACAACCACAACTTTGTCTGCGCTAAGAGATCCACCAATTTGGGAATCTTCGAATAATCAGTGCTACTAGTAACAGTATTACCTCTCCCTTGGTTATTTTCCTTAGAATATTCAACATCCTTTCGTCTCGAATCGGGAAATGTGTCACAGTTCATACACTGATATACTCTCTTTTTTCATAATATCCGACACAATTTTCATTTTTATTTTGTTCTTTAATTTTGACACACTTTTAAAATAAGGAAGAGCCACTAATATTTTAATATAATCGAGTAGTCTTGATGTGTGAATATAGGAGTGGGGAGAATATTCATGGACCACTTTCAAGAATATCAATTAGGATGCTACATCAAGGGATACTACCATTAAGAAGATCACGTTAGTTCTCCAATCAATTATTATATCCATAGCTATAGTATCACACTATCACCTAATCATCCATGAGCTACATGCCTATATCTACCATTCTCCTTCTCAAGTAATAATCCTCCATCTCATAGCCTTTTCATTCACCAAGCAAAGCTTGGCCCAGTGATAAAGGTTTGGGGGTGAGGTATCTCTTATCTTTTCCTTTCGCTCCTAATGAGTCTGGCCTACAAAGCTGAATTGGCTTGACCAGTAAAATATGTCACTTCAGTAAGGTCCTTCTTACCGCTAAAAATAATAATTACTTCCTCCGTTAAATATTAATTGCAACAAAGGAATATTTTATATCTCACAAATAATACCCCTTTGTTGTAATTAATAGTTAACGGAGGAAGTAAAAAAAAATAAAACCCCTCATAACCTTCATTCATTAATTACTTCCTACCAAAAAAAAAATAAAAAAAAAATTATGCTTTATTTTTTAGTCTTAAAATTGTTATATGTAGAATTATAGTTTCAAAAGTCTTGTCACAAAATAGAAGCCTCATTTTACCAAAAAATAGAAGCCTCACTAGAAATAACCTTTATCTAGTTTTACCATAATCAATAAAACTTCATTATCTTTTAATTTTATTTACTACTTTTAATCAACCAAACCCTCACTGTATTATTTTTTATATTACCTTTTAATTGGCCAAATCCCACAACTTTGTTTAAAACGTTTGTAAAAGGCATATTAAACTTTTATTTGAGATGTAGCATTACAAGGTTACATCTCCACCCACATCGTTCTCCTATTAATGCAACTCCACCTATATTAGAGCACTATCAATGGTGAGCTAAAAATTTGCTCATGGACATTTTGGGTGAGCATAAAATTTGCTCATGCATTACAATGGTGAGCAAATGAGAAAAAGCCAAAAAATGCTCATGAGCATTTCTGAAAATGCCCAAGACTTGAACATTTTTAAAGATGAATAGTGCTCTGATGGGCCCCACAATTTGCAATGGTTATATTTTTTATAATGCAAATTCTGAAATAAATATTTATTAAAAAAAAAATTAAAATTATTAACGGTCATAAAATTTAATTCTCTATAAATAGACATGCATTTTGGTATACTTTGGTATAATTTCAGAAATATCATAAATCCTCCATATTCTTTATTTTAACGATAAAAACGACACAAATAAAAAAAAAATTACACAAATTTAGACTATTTTTTTTTTATTTGGAGTAATATTGTTAAAATATAAATGAAATTAATAAATAAAAAAGTATTGTGTAGGAGAGAGAAAGTAATGGTGGGGTATTGAAAAAGTAAGAGAGAGAGAGTAGTGGGCAAGCATTTTTTGCTCACCATTGGGAGAGAAATTGTGAAAAAAATTTGCCCATGGGCAAAACAGATTTGTTGAGAGAGAAAGTCGGTAGAGAGATAGTGGGTGGGCATTTTTTTTGCTCACCATTAAGAGTGGTCTTATCTACCAACTCCATTGATAACATCCGCAATTCAACAAAGCATCACACACTCACACATAAGTTGAGCAAATCACAAAAAATACACCAAAATCCATCCTCCATTCCATTAATACCTAGAGCCTGAGCCACATATTGCACAGCCAAAATGTTGAGAGCCTTTGCATAATGCCTTGAAAGAATGTCATGATACCCTATCGCATATAGCTCAAGCACCCAAGATTTATAGTATCAGGATGAAGGTCTGATGTTCAGCGCGAGAACTTACTAAAGAAACACTTGGCCAGGTACAGGTTATATGATCAAGTATGTTACGTTTTTTGCAATACAAAACACCTATGGCGTCGATGAAATATTATCATTGTTTGTTCTTCAACCACATAGGTGAAGTGTTGAGGACTATAATCTTGTTACAGGTTTACAACTGTTCTTATATGCTGGCCTCGAACCTCAACATGTCTTCTAGCTACTTGATTCTTAATTAGGTCAGAAGTTTAAAGCAATACAACTTTCTTGTTGATCGAATATCTCACTAATTTGTGAGCACCAACCACGAGGAATTTGGGTACACTGCTTAATGTTACCACGAGATCAGAAAAGCATAAAATCCTTACCAAATATAACTGGAGTGATTAATCAATTAACAAGAACAATTAAGACATAACTGAAGCAATTCTATGTCTATCCAGTAGCAAAAGATTCAAAGTTTACCGATGACAAGACCCTTGGTCATCACAAAGTAATGTACTAATGTTTACCAAGACCCTTAGTACCAAACATATGATACTACAATTTAAAAACAACACTCTGCTAAGTACATAATCTTACTTGAGAAAAGCCAGCCTTCCAATACCTCTATTTGCAGTTAATCTCCCACAACTTGGACCAATTGAGTACTTGCAACCAATATGGAGATTTGCAATGGCTAAGGCAATTGAGCCAACACAGCTTTACCTGTAATCAAAATTTTCCAAATAAGATCTTGCAATAATATAATACAATGTTCTACAAAAGCAAGAATATAGCCATTGTTTAGTGGATTTGTACCTGGATGGACTCTTGCTCTTACTCTTGCTCCTGCTCCTGCTCCTGCTTGGGCTCTTGCTCAAGCTCTTGCTCCGTTCCCGACGGGGGCTGGGGCTACCCTTCTTGGGGCTTTTGCTCAAATTTTTCTTTTGCTGCACATGGACAGAATAACATAAAACAAGCCTAGCTAACTAATTATCCTACCCAACGATAAAAAGGGTCCTACAGCCCATTCAAAGTAGTGATAAATAGGGGGTAATATAGTTCAACGACTTTTAACCTTTAAAAAAATGAGCTCTGCAATAAAAGCAATAGATGTGTACTTACAGATGGCACTGGGGACCTGGACCTTGATCGTGATCTGCAAAAGTTCCAGAAACAACGCAATTTATTATCCACATGTCCTCAACAATCTTTCAGACCTTGACCCAAAAGCCTTGATTCCTCTCGCACGACAGTGTAACCATATTCATACTCAGGCAGGAACAAAAAGAAAAGTATCTTTAGCAAGGGATTAAAATATAAAAGCTTATAACATCTATAAAACCAGGCAAACAAGCCTCTACATGGAAACATAAACCTTTTGCAACAGCACCATACTACAAGTCAATGCATCAATAGATATGAAGCAGAGCATCCCTTCCAGATTGTACGAACAAATCCAAAGAATCCAGATTGCTCCAATATCCAATAAGCAATTAGTCCAGTATTCCAGCTTTAATAAGGCAGTCCATGATCTTCTGTGTCCCAAATCTAGCACCCATGGACATGTGATGCTAAATGTATTAGAACAAACAGACCACGAAGGTATCCAAAGCTGCCACTCAAAAAAAACAGCCGCATACCTCACAACCAAAAGATTTGAGGCATTTGAAAAATAACCCATCCTGATCCTAATTTGCAATCCCCATAAAGCCGCAAATATCCAGATCCTAATTTGCAATCCCAACATTACTGCACATATCCAAATCTAAACAAACAAACATGCAACCTTCATACATATATATTTTAAGGGGGAAAGAAAGCAGCCTAACCGAGTTCCTATTCAGCCCACCAGCAATGATATGGATGTGCTAGCATCAGAGCAAAAAGAAAAAGTACAAGAGAAGAGTTCATGAAAACCATCTTCCCAATCCTCCCTCCTCTCAGGCCAAAACAACCACCACCCACTGTAACAATTGACAGGGTTTGAAAAGGTTCGAGCCATATCATTATTCTGCTTACACATACTATATTAGCAGCTACAATTATTTTGCATTATTTTTCAGCTGTCCTCACCCTCCCTCACCACAAAGTAGGGCTCAGTGTCATATTTTCTTTCTATTTTTGTTAGAGAGGGCGGGTGGTGGACTCCCTCTTCCCACTCCTCTCACCCCAAAAGAAAAGAGGTTGGAACAGGGAAGAAAAATCAAACATCAGATGATGACACTTTAGAACAGATAAGAAAACAATAGAACAAACTTCTAAGCTAGAAATGGTCTTGCAGCTATAGCGATGTCTACGTAAAATGTCCCATCAATATCTAAGACCATTCATCATTATCATCTATTAATGTATAGCCTGAGATACTAGTGAAAATAGATATTTAACATTTATTAGAGCAATTTTCTGGAATAACACGCAGGTAGGAGAAGACAACATACCTAGACAAAGAGCGAGACCTTGATCTAGACTTAGATGATACCGATCGAGAACGAGATCTAGCAGGTGACCGGCGTGAGGCCTTCTTGGGGGATTTGCTGCATGATATGAAGAGTAAGCATAAATAACCCGCACGTTTGTAACCAGATATATTACTGAAGCTTATTCTGCTAGATGAAAATAATTAAACCTTGGACTTCTGCTCCTACTATAACTACGACCACGACTTCGGCTTCTGCTTCGACTGTGGCTTTTGCTCCTACCCCTTGGACTACGACTGCCTTTATATTCCTTCACCTGAAAATGATTAAACAAAGGGGGTTTATATATTTTACAGACACTACACTTCAACTGCTGATTTGGTGTCGCAGATGTTGATGAATAAATGTCAAGTGAGAGAATGATGGCCCATACACGAACATATGACCGGGAAAATGCATTGCGAAATTCCGAGTCATCAAGCTTCCTGATCTGTAGTAACAAAGTAGAAACAAATTTTAGTAATTCATGGCTACAAAACCAAAGGAGGCAAGGAATGAAAAGAAAGAAGAACATACAGCATTCTTCATGTCTTCATAATTGGTGTAATCTACAATCCCAGTAGTACCTGCACAGAAAATTATCCACCGGTTTGGTCAACAACAATATAAAATGCTAACTTTTATCATTCTAAAACATTAGGTTATTAAACGCAATGGGTATCGCAGATATGTGCTGGACCAAACAAACAGAGCAAAAATTATATGAAAGTTAACTTTACAATTTTGAAAACAATCATTGCAAAAATTACATGAAAGTTAACTTTACAATTTTGAAAACAATCCTTCCAGCCTAGCTAAGAGTGATCTTGGTTGGAACACCTCTAACTTTAAGAATATCAAACTTCAACCAATGAACTTCCAAGATGCTTAAACATGGATACAACTGTCAGACTCATATATGAATCCAAGGGTCAGCTACAGGAAAATTCAAATTCAAAGACTCAAGGACACGTTTGTTAAACATGGGCTCGGGGACCGGCAAATTATTTTTATAAAATTTGTAAATTTTCAAAATAATTATTATGATTCAAATTTTTTCAGAGAAAAATAAAAGTAAATATGCATTACAGTTTTGAAACTAGCAGACTGCATGAGAAAATGACAGAGAAAAGGAAATTTATTTGATAAAGAAAAAGAAAGGAGTGCTGCCAGCTGTATAGTGTTAAGAATTAAGCAGTCAAGTTAAAAACTTAATTGTTGACCAATTTACCCCCTTGTACTTCCAACACTGCTTTATCAAATGTACACCCTCTTCTCTCTCCTCTCTTTGCAGCAAGCAAGAGCAATGACAGCCGGTAGATGTTATGGTGGCTCACTCAGGCAACCAAAACCCCCAGGTTTTCATTCTCTTTATCCCTGATTCGGTGCCCCGATGTTCAGATTTTATTTTAAAAACCCTAAGATTATCTGACCTACCTCTTGCTTCAGTGGTGGGTTAGGTTTCCCCCTACTGAGCCCTCATATCCCGCTTGTCCACCCAGGTTGGGTCGTAATGGGTTTGGATGGGGTAAATGCTGCCGAGTCTGAGCATCAAAAGCTCATAGGAAATCCCTCTCCACCCTTCTCAGTAAGAGGTAATTGACTTCTACTATAGACAAGCTCTATACTTACCAGGTAGCAATTCTTCTTAAAAGGCTGCAATGTCCAGGAAGAAATAGTCATAGAATAAAGGGTCATACAAGTATCAATTTATTAGTAGCAATAGTACAATATCATCCACCCAAAGCTCCTTTTCAAGCCTCAAAATCTAAACAGACTCTATACATTATAGTTGAAGCAATTTCTCACTAACTAATATAAGTTAGACCACCACCTCTACTTTCTTGTCCTTTATCAATTGTCATTCACACTACCTGTTAGTTGTCATGCTCCTTAGCTAGTTCAAAGGTTACCCTAACCTACTACCAGAAAAGGGGGGAAATGTATCCATTGTGCAGAATCAATCCTAAGAGCAGCATTCACATACTGCAATTCATTCTTTGCGAAATATAAGTAAATCCTACACTCTGCCCCTCAAATGGGCAATTGGCTTCCAATCTTTTATCCAAAGATGAATTATTATCCATCAACTACAAGCCTACTAATTGTATCAGATCACCATCACATCCTTTTCCAAACTCCCTCTGTAGTACCTCTCGATGAAATACACTACACTACAGCTTATAAATTTAGTACCACCATTTTCCAACCAAAAATACACCGGAGGAAAACCATACGCCAAATTCAGATGCACAACTTTAGATCTAAAAGTATACAAAGCATTTTTCTATAATAAGCTCCATCTCTGTAACCAAGACTGAACAAATTATCACTAAAAATTTCCAGCAATATCAGCCACCGGATTTTTTGGCCCTTGATCACTAGGCACTAGCAAGAGTTCTGATTGGACCCTATATTGATGGGGATTATGGAAAAGGGGGAAGCATAAAAGGGTGTGCATGGTGTGGTGGTGGTCTGGTGGATATGACAAGTGCAAATGTATTGAAGGGAGACTTTATTTCAGCAAATGATTTGGCATCAAAACAATAAAGGAGCAAGGAGTATTAAGGACTTTATTTCAGCAAATGATTTGGCATCAAAACAATGAAGGAGCAAGGAATATTAAGGAGACTTTATTTCACCAAATGATTTGGCATCAAAACAACGAAGTCAATGTAATAGACAAAGCATTTTCCCCCTACATTACACTCTTCTATAAATTCTCAAAACAAGACCCAAGAAATTCCAAGACCCAACAGCCAATGGCTTAACAATCCAAATTATTACTTCAACAAATTTGGAAGCTTACTCCCAAATGTCACACTGCATTGAGCTTTCATTTCACAAATTTTCGTCATTATTCCAAATTATTCACTGTATAGTGACTATAGTCCAAAAAAAAATAAAAAAATAAAAAAATATAAAAAAACCTATTTGCAGCCAAAAAAACATTGCATTAACAAGGTAAATGCTACTTTTCAACAAGAATTAACAAGCCACCACTCATACCTGAGTGCTTCACACTGTCACAAAATGACAAAAGGTACCCACCAAAGGCGAGAATAGCTTTTACAAATATTTGGTAAAAAACAATATGTATAGTAACATTCAACAAGGGTATAGCACTACTACCATAAATATCAGTTTAGTATTAACTCTGCATTACATGATTAAAATATCCATATGAAAATATCATACTTAAGGGTCAAAAAAACTTACCACCACCGTCACGAAAAACTTGGGAAAAACAAACATCTCCTGCCTTCCGCATGTGATCCTAGAAAAGTTGGCAAGTCAAAATCACATTCGGATTTAGAGGAGGGACAATAATATGTGATGCATGCATTTGGAGATGTTGAGATTGACATGTGACCAAAAATATCAACTGAAATACATATATATACCTTTAAATCTTGCCAGGAAGCAGAAGAAGGTAATCCACTTATCACCACTGCATTGAAGGCAGTAGTAAGAAATAAAGATTAGAATACAATATCTAGCCAACTAATATTAAATCCATGGAAACAATCAAATCCAACACTTGCCACGATACTCAGTATGTTTAGAAACGCCACGGCGTCCTCCACCACTGTGACTGCTATAGCGGTCAGTTGATGATGAGTTCCCACGCCCACCATGAGCAAGTTCAACCTTGAAACCGTCAAAGTAAATTTTTCAAGTCAACTCTATGCTCTATAGAAGAATATTGCAAACAGTTATATCTTATATGTCAAGCAGTATATATATAACAGACTAACCCGCAGACGATGCCCATCAAAGTCATAACCATCACGGCCATCTATAGCATCTTGAGCATGGCGAGCCTCCTCAAACTGTTACAAAAAGCGATAATTACAACCATATAACCAGCACAAGATGAATTTCCGAAAACAAAAACTGCAACGGTGTTGCACAAACATGTGCTAATATTATTCTTCTCTCATCATTCCTGTTGCCATTTCTCACAAATCAGAAGAAAAGCTCACCTCAACAAATGCATAACCTGGAGGTCTTGGTGGAATCTTCAAGTCAATATGAGCAATGGGTCCATACTACAAGAAATCAGCAGCATCATAAGCACGTGTTTAAGACATTAAAATTATTTTTTGTTAGCTTACAAATTGCTAACTTCAAGTAGCCTAATCATACTTGAAAACTAGAACAACACAAAACTGATAAAAAGCCTCAATCCTAAAGTGATGAGGTTAGCTACACAGACCAGTATGTCATCCACTGAGAAATACTCGTTGACTATACCCAATACATTCAACCTACAAAAATTGGCCAGTAATACAGAAACCACTCACTCCTCAAAGGGGTTTGGAAAAGCTAACTTACATACCTCACTCAATAGTTTTAAAGAAATATATAATAAACAAGCATATAAATCACCGAGCATTTTCTCAAAGACAAAACTTCACAATACCAAAACACCAAGAGCTCTCGTCAAAGCACTTAACATAGTTATACTCTTCAAAAACTGTAATTTTGATCCACATAATGCTTAACAAACAAATTTCCCACAAACAAAACATTAACAATGCATTCAGAGACAGCCGCGATGAGTGAAACCCGAGCTCTTCTACTTCGAAAAGCTTTCAGTAATTAAAAGGGAAATGAAAATGAAATTAAATACCATCCCTCCATTCTCTTCCCTCAATCAATATTCGAAATTCCAAGTAAAGGAAAATGAGTTAAACCAATTTCCCTTCGCTTCGAATAATCTCATCCAAACACATTGTAAATGTAACTAATAAAATTAATCAATTATACAAAGCATAGTTAACCTAATAATTATTATACCTTATAAAACAAATCTTCAACTTCCCTCTCTCTGATATCCCCAGGAAGGTTACCCACATAAAGAGTTCTCCTTGAACGGCTGCTCATTGTTCCTGAAACGTATAAAATCTCATATAATCAAAATTTCTACAAAAATAAACCAGGTAATTATGCATAAATTTCAAATCGAATTCGACAAAACTATGAAAAGATCTGGAAAAACAAACGCATTTTCTCTGAATTATTTACCAAATCCTAATTCTAGGGTTTTGTCAGGGAGCTAGAATTCAAAAATAATGATTTATTTCAAAAGTATAGAAACCCTAGAAAAGAGTAATAGCAGAATGAAGAGAGAGAAAGAGAATTACCAGTAGCAGATTAGAGCGCACGATAGGAAATGAGAGAAGGTTGCTTACGGCGGAACAATGAATGAAATGAAAGGTATGAAAAACGATAGGAAATGAGAGAAGGTTGCTTACGGCGGAACAAGGATTACAATTATTGTCAAACTATCTTCATACACTCTTTTATTTTTGTTTTTTTCAACTTCACCTTACTTTTATTTTATTTTTTTATTTTTAAAAAAAAAAAATCAAGTACAACAAATACATGTTCTCTTTATTTTCTTCACAAAAAAAAATATATATATATATATATATATTAGTTAAAAGAAACTTTACCGAGAGAAAATTTTATAAGAAATGATGTAGAATGGATGAAAATTATTTCATTTTTTACTATATGAATGGAGTCCCTGTACATAGGAACAATATTACAATATAATATTGAACATTATTGCACTTTGTGCATATAATTGCCCTAAATGCTACATACATGCATGTGAACTACATTTTTGTTTTTATTCTCAACACTCCCCCCTGAACGTTCACATGAAATAGAGTATGGGTTGTCTCGTGAAATTTGCTAGGTAAAACCTTATGGGATAAAACTATAGCTAAAAAGTATTATATGCTTTGATATACTGCCTCGTTAAAAACCTTGTCAGGAAAAACCCAGTGGGATAAAAACCTGATCGAAGGGAAAAGAGTGCAGTGCATATAATACTCCCTCACCATAGTTCACGAAGATGTCGCATTCCAATTTTGTGAACTAATAGCTCAAATTTCTTGGAGGGAAGTGATTTGGTGAACAAGTCGGCAAGGTTGTCACAAGACTGAATGTGCTGGATAACTATTTCCTCATCCTTTTGCAGATCATGTGTGAAGAATAGTTTTGGGGATATATGTTTTGTTCTATCTCCCTTAATGTATCCTTCAGTTACTTGAGAGATGCATGCTGTATTTTCTTCAAAGATGGTGGTTGGATTTTCTATTATTGCTTTCATTCCACACTCTTCTTGGATATTACTAATCATCGACCTCAGCCATACACATTCTCGTCCTACTTTATAAAGGGCTATCAACTCTGCATGATTTAAGGATGTCGCGGGTCAATGTCTGCTTTGTTGATTTCCATGATATTGCAGTGCCGCCATAAGTGAATAAATATCCATTTTGTGACTTGGCATTTTGAGGATCTGATAAATATCCAGTGTCGGCATACCCAATGAGGGCAGCATCTTGTTTCGGTCGATAATATAAACCAAGGTCTTGTGTTCCTCGTAGGTATCGGAGTAGGTGTCGGACTCCCTTCCAATGCCTATATGTTGGTGCTTTGTTGTGCCTGGCTAACAAGTTCACAGAGAAAGCTATGTCGATTCTAGTGTTGTTAGCTAAGTATATTAAGGCTCCAATTGCACTTAAGTATGGTACTTCTGGACCAAGAATTTTTTCATATTCTTCTCGTGGTCTGAATGGATCATTTTTCATACTCAAGGAACGAACAACCATTGGGAAGTTGATTGGAGTTGCTTTGTCCATGAAGAATCTTTCAACTCTTTCTGTATAGTTTGTCCATGACTCAAGTTCTCGATTTGCAATCCAAGGCAAAATTTAGTTTTTCCAAGGTCTTTCATCTCAAATTCTTTCATCAAGTATTTTGCAGTTTTCTCAAGTTCATTTGGGGTTCCGATGATATTCAAATCATCAACATAAACTGCAATAATAGCGAATCCTGATTGTGATTGCTTTATGAAAACACAGGGACTAATTTGGTTGTTCTTGAACCCTTCTTTCACAAGGTATTCACTGAGACGGTTATACCACATCCTTCCAGATTGTTTCAATCCATAAAAGTGACCTTTTTAGTTTTATGGAAAGTAATTGTCTAGGTTTGTGGTTTTATGGTAGCTTTAGTCCTTCGGGGACTTTCATGTAAATGTCTGTATCGAGTGACCCATACAAATACGCAGTCACTACATCCATTAATCGCATTTGCAGTCCTTTTGTGACTGTCAAACTTACCAGAATTCTTAATGTAGTTGCATCAACTACTAGGGAATATGTTTCTTCATAATCAATCCCTGGGATTTGAGAAAATCCTTGGGCTACAAGCCTTGCCTTGTATCTAACTATCTCATTTTTCTCATTACATTTTCTCACAAATACCCATTTATATCCAACGGGTTTTACACCTGCTGGTGTAAGAGTTATTTTTCCGAAAACTTCTCGTTTTTCAAGTGATTTCAACTCAGCCAGCATTGCCTCCTTCCACTTTGGCCAATCACTCCTAGGTCGACATTCTTCCACTGTTCTTGGTTCAACATCATTTTCATCAGACACAATGTCGATTGCGATGGAATTTGCAAATATTTCATCCACGATAACATCTTTCCTATTCCATTGAGTCTTGGAAGAGACGTTATTCATTGAGATTTCATTGTTATCGATGTTTTGAACATCTTGTTCATTCCCCGTAGGGTTGTTTTCTTGTTCGTCCCCTTTTGGATTATCATCATTTTCTTTACTTTCACCCACATTTGGTCTTTCTTGACCTTCTGACGGGGGAACATCATTAGTCTCACTTTCTATTCCATCCAATCTTTTCAATTTCCTTGGTTTAGAGTCTTTTGAACCAAGTGGTCTCCCACACTTTCTACGTGCTTGAGATTCATTCTCCATGGCCTTATTATCTGTTGGGATTTCAATACGTGTAGGGACATTTTCTGCTGGTATATGTGATTTTGTCACCTTCTTTGTGTCTACAAATGCATCAGGCAATTGATTTGCAACACTTTGTAAATGAACAATTTTCTTGACTTCTTGTTCACACGTATATGTTCGTGGGTCTAACATCAACAGTTGTGTTGCATTCCAAATAAGTTCTGTTTCTTTCTTGCATGGGTCCACTTTCTCTCCCCCTTAGGCTCGGAATACTGCTTCATTAAAGTGACAGTTGGCAAATCTAGCCATAAATAAGTCACCAGTCAATGGTTCAAGATATTTAATTATTGAGGGGGATTCAAACTCGACATAAATCCAGCCTTCTTTGTGGACCCATTTTTGTTCGTTGGGTGGAGCAATGGGAACATATACAGCACAACCAAAGATTTTTAGATGTGAGATACTTGGTTCTCGATCACAAACAAGTTGTAGTGGTGAGAATTAATGATAAGTTGTAGGTCTCAATCTAATTAGTGCTGCTGCATGTATTATAGCATGTCCCCAAGCAGATGATGGCAATTTTGACCTCATTAATAATGGTCTTTCAATCAATTGTAATCTCTTAATTAGTGATTCAGCTATTGGGTGTTCAACCTCAATTCTGATTGACATACAATAATCATTAAATGTTTGGGATGTAAATTCCCCAGCATTGTCGAGTCTTATTTTCTTTATTGTATGATCTGGGAATTGTGCTCTTAATTTGATAATTTGGGCAAGTAATTTTGCAAAGGCAACATTTCTACTTGAAAGCAGACTGACATGTGACCATCGTGTAGAAGCATTAATTAAAACCATGAAATATTGAAATGGTCCACATGCCGGATTAATTGGCCCACAAATATCTCCCTGAATTCTTTCCAAGAATTTTGGAGATTTAATAGCAATTTTGTTCATAGATGGTCTTATTATTAATTTGCCAAGTGAACATGCAGAGCATGTTAATTCATCCGATCGAGGAATTTTGACATTTCTTATTGAATGTCCAACTGAATTTGCTATTATTCTTTGCATCATCCCAGTTGCTGGATGTCCCAAACGATCATGCCATAAAATAATCAAGTGTTTGTCATCTAACTTCTGGTTAGATATCATATTGATTTCCACGGGTCGTATGTTTATACGATATAACCCCGAAGAATATGCTGGCAATTTCTCATAAATGTGTTTCTTGCCATATCTTCCTGCCGTGAGGCATAAATACTCCTTTTGACCTGTTGTCATTGTTTCTAAATGATAGCCATTTTGGCGTACATCTTTAAAGCTTATGTGATTTCTTCGAGATTTACTCGAGTATAAGGCATTATTGATTATCAATTTTGTTCCATTTGGAAGCATTATACAAGTCTTTCCAGATCCTTCTATTAATTTTGCTGACCTAGAAATAGTATTTACATTTTCCTGAAACAACTTTAGTTGTGAAAAATATTTTATATCCTTCAAGATAGTGTGTGTTGTTCCACCGTCCAAAAGGCACTGATATTCGGAACCAACTTCAGGCATATCCATATCTTCATAAATATGAGATTAGTTTAGAATAATATCATACAAACTTTCATTGATGATAGAAATTAAAAATACATGACTAGGCATTTAAAATACAGTACATAACAGAAAATACATTAAAACATAGTATATATTACATTAGTAGATGGGTTATCTAAGCATTGTTATTTTCTCCAAAGATGAAATCATTTCCAATTTCAGCATTGTCCATGAAAAAATCGGACACATCAAGGGTAGGACATGGAGCATTTTCTTCATTAACATAATTTGCTTCTACATTTTTCTCTTTGCCTTTTACAAAAGCCTGGTAAAGATCTACTAAATGTTTGGTCGTACGACAAGTGCGTCCCCAATGCCCTGTCATGCCACATCTATAACATGTGTCTTTTCCTTTTGAAGGACTTTGTTTGTGGCTTCAAAATGACTGTCCCTTCTGTTTTTTCAGAAATTTTTTGAAATTACTATTTCTTTGAAAATTATGTCTACCACGTCCTCAGCCTCGTCCGCGATAATTTCCACGGCCATTGTAATATCCACGTCCACCTCTTCGTGTAGCATTTGCCTCGGGTGGATAAGAACTTGTTGCATTTGCCTCATGATGAGTGGCCAAAGACCCTGTTAGTCTAAGATTATGATTTTTCAACAAAAGATCACTATTTTGTTCCGCAACAAGCAATACACTCATTAATTCATTAAACCTTTTGAAACCTCTTTCACGATATTGTTCTTGCAACAGTATGTTGCTTGCATGAAAGGTAGTGAGTGTTTTTTCAATCATCTGTTCATCGGTGACTAGATGATCACAATATCTCAATATAGATACTATTTCATGTATGGTTGAATTGTAATCAATTACAGATTTGAAATCCTGGAACCGTAAATTTGTCCAGTCAAATAATGCCTTGGGAAGGAGCACCCTTTTGTGGTATCCAAATCTTTCATTAAGGCAATCCCATAATTCTTTGGGATCTTCAACCATCATGTGCTCAATTTTAAGGCCTTCATGTAAATGATGCCTTAGTAACACTAAGGCTTTTGCCTTTTCTTATTCAATTACAGGTTTTACAACCGTCATTGCAGAAGTGGTAGCATCAGTTGTTTGACCATAGGGACTTTTATTATCTTTAACAGTGTGCTCCAAGCTTTTAAATTCATCATGGCATCCACTTTCCATTCCAAAAATTTCTTTCCAGATAAATCTAGGATGCTGAATTGTCTTTTCATAAGATCTCCCGTTTTAACTACAACAAATTACGTGATAATTAGTTTATAATAATAAATCATATGTGCAGCACATATGTTTAATTCTTCCATATTTATAGTTTGTTAATGAAACACATGATAATTAAATTTATTTAACAATAATAAACCATAAATAATGTAGTTCTTTTCTCCCCCTTGGTTTATTATTGTGAGTAATTATATTATTAGGCAAAAATAAATCATATTAGTCGCATAAACATCAAAACGACGACAACAACAGTAGTAATAATAGTTATAATAATAACGATAATATTATACAATAATGATTAATAACAACAAAACAACATAATAAAACAAAAACATGCTTTTAATCTACTAAAACGACAAAATAAACAAACTTTACTTGTACATCATGACAAAAATTAATATTGCTACTAACAGAACTACAAGCACCATAATTAGAAGAAAATATTGTTTTATCTTCCTTAAATCTTCCTCAAAGGTGAAGGTGTGGGTGTTTTGGGTGTTTTGGTTGTCGTCGTTGGGGAACATATCGGAGAAGAAGGGGTGAAAAATTTTGGGTGATTTTTGGATAAAGAAAAAAAATGGGAAATGATAAGGGATTTGTGGTGAAAATAGGGGGAAATCTGCCTTTTATAGAGGTAGGTTTATCCGTTACTATTCTGTACAACTATAAAAATATCATATAATAGTCTAATGTACTGGCAAAAATTATGGTCCAAATATAAATATTTATAATTGTAAAAGGTTATCACACTGGGAATGCAAGCCATAGTGGTCCGAGAGCCCTAATATCTATATAAGATCATGGGTTCGAAAATTGAAAGAAACACAAAAAGTACGTAAAAGAAAGAAAAATAATAAATATAAAAAGACTGCATCTTTTTGTCAATTTAGTTAATAATATGCATGCAAAGTTACCACTAAAATTAAATTTTATGTAAAAGATGAGCATGTAATATCAACATGCATGAATCAAACAATAAACATCAACATGAATATAACAAGGGAGAATAGTAATGAATTCATAAATAAGAGAATTCCTCCACCGTTGTTTTAATACAGTAAATATTTGAGTTTCTGGTATAGAGGATCCCAAAATATGGGCAACTATAGAGCATACTCCTCAAAATATTTAGAAGTATATAGTATTTATTTTTTATAATTTTGAGAAGTATGTATAAATATACCTGACTAAGAATTGGTGATGATAACATGTTAAAAGAAACTTTACCGAGAGAAAATTTTATAAGAAGTGAAGTAGAATGGATGAAAATTATTTCATTTTTTACTATGTGAATGGAGTCCCTATATATAGGAACAATATTACAATATAATATTGAACATTATTGCACTTTGTGCATATAATTGCCCTAAATGCTACATACATGCATGTGAACTTCATTTTTGTTTTTATTCTCAACAATATTTTCTTTATCTTATCTATATATCCGTACCCATTAAAAAGAGGGAACTTGTCAAACATGAAAGGAAAGTGATATGAGTGTGCAGTCAATGAAAATCACTGTTCATAAGGTTTACAAAAGTTTGAGAGTTTGGGTGTGTTGCATTTGAGTGTAATTCCATTTCCATTTGGTGATTGGGCAAATTCTTGTTGAGTCAACAAGTTGGGAGCTGTGGTATTCTTGTCTTGGATGTGTCTTGTCAGTAACACCTCATAGGTTGACAGTTTGTGTTATTCATGAATTTTTTTGTTTAGCTAATAATTAAGTGCCATGATGATTAAGATGGCTTCCTCATGTGTACAATGGTTAGTAATTTCGTTTTTTTTTTTTTTAATTAATTTTGTTTAAGTTAGTTGTCTACAAAAGTTTGGGTTACTCACAAATTGCCTTGTCCAACTACTTAAGTTTGAGCCATGGTGATTGAGTTTATTGCCTCATGTGTAAAATGTTAGTGATTTGATTTACCCTTGATTAATTTTGTGTAATTTAGTTGTTTCAGCCATGGGTGATTAAGTTGATTGCCTCATTTCTAGAATAATTAGTGATTGATTAATTTTGTTTTAAGTCAGTGGTTTATGCAGAGATTAGAGATAAGAATTGTGGATTATATTTGTATCTTACGTTTAGGCCATTGTGTTTATGCAGTGATTAGATTTAGGAGAATTGTTTTGTGGTGGATTATATTTGTGAGGTTAAATGGTGATTAGTGTTGTTGGGAGTTGTTACGGGTACATGTGTATTAAATTAGAGTCTATGGTGAATGGTACATATTTTGGGTGGCTGCTTCATGCTAGGGTGGCTTGCCCATATTTCAACTGTTCAGTGAACAGTTTGAGCTTCCCTTGTTTGGTGCAAACCTGTTTTACCTCAGTACGTTTGTGTACATATTTTATGCATTTAATTTTGTTACTTTTTCTACAGCATACCCTTGCCATCTGCCTATATATATACCCCATGTTGATTAAGAAGCATTGTATTGTGCTTTCTTCATGTTCTTAGTTTCTATAGGTATGGTTCTGTTCAAAGTTTTTAGATTAAAGTAAATAAAAAATATTTAAAATTATATTTTCTAGTTACTAAGCATAATTATGTTTGGTTGTATGGTGCTAATGTTGATTATTGGTTTCGGCTTTGGTTGATTATATTATACAACTCTATAAACCGAACTTGATTACTGGACTTGAATAAGACTAAACCTGGTCATTCTGGACATGATTCAGTGTGCTACAGAAATTAGACTTCATTCTGAAATTATACTTTAGGAATAATAGTCTACTTTAAATGGTGGTGGTCATTGTTGATGGTTCCATTTTGTTGTGAATTAACATGTTCTTGGTTCCATTTAGTTGCTGGTTTTCTCTTGAACAGTTGTTTGATGGTTGTAATGTCGTGGTTTTATTGATATTTTATAGATTAAAGTTAGGATTTTGTGTGTTAAGGTGTGTATCTTTCACCACACCAAATATCTTCTATGTTAAAATGTATTATTTTTCCTTGTAATTTCTGGGAAGAATAAAGTAAGAAGAGGGGCGGGGGCGGAGGAAGGAGGTTAAATTGGTGTGGTTATACATATATATTAACGATATAAACATTGGTGTGTATGTCATCATTCTTAGGAGGACTAATTGGTATAGCTGCAGGGCCAGATTAATGTTGTTAATTTATCGTTCTGTTTGTGTTAATGTATCGTTTTGTTTTTTATATCTGGTTTTCGCTTGACATTAAGTTATGTCTACGAGGGTCCTATATAAAAACCTATTATTTATGTCCTTGTAGGAGAGAAGGGTATAATTACTGGTTATTATAGGCTGGATCTTATATACCTGTGTATTTGTTAGTTGTTGTAGAGATCACTATTTATTTTGCTAAACTTGATTAGTATATGTGTGTATTTATTCTTTGCTGTAGTGATCAGCACTTACTTTGCTTGACTTGATCATTTTCCTAGGTTCTAATCCTTGTTTTCCCTTGTGCATGTAGCTTTGTGATCGGATATAGTTGAGTACAAGCAGGCTAACCGAACGTGTGCTGAATTTGCTGGTATGCTTTTACCTTAGAATTAATTACTATGGTATGATGGTCATAGTATGCTGAATATCTTTGTTGCATGTGTTGGTTATAGATTATTTGTTATCTTTGTTTTGTAACAAACTAGGATTGATTTATTAGTGTGGGAGTATGTTGTTAGGGTGAATTGAGTATGTCATATTGATAGGGTATATGGTCTCAGCAGCATCATTGGGAGGTTTCAAAATCTATATCAGCAATGTCATTGGGAGGTTTTAAAATCTTTGTAAGATGGTGTTCGTGTCTTTAAACATTGAGGAAGTAGAGGTAGGTAGAGCTTTGCTGCTGTACTCAGCAAGGGGACTGAAATTAAATTTGGCTTATTGCCTTACACAGGTTATGGCGACAATGACTCCAAAAATTGGGATTCCTTTTCAACCGTTACTGGAATAGATTACTGACTGTGTAGGGCTTTAAAAAATAGTTTATGTAATTGATGATTTTCCTTCAAACAAGGTTTTTGTTAAAATCAAGATGAAGAATGGTCGTCAGACCTGTGTTTTTAATGGTGGAGAAGCAGGTAGTCTGAAAAAATCATCTGAAAAGGCTTCAGAAAAAGCAATTCATGGCCTCATAGATTTGTATGATGTAGCTGTTGATGACTTTACTGCTAATTGAATCCGAACATTCAAGAGATGTGCTACTTTATTCAGAATGAAAAGGCGCCAGCTACGACTGACAATTGGACATGGAACTGCAGCTGGTAATGAGTGTGGCCTTGATCTTGGATCTCACTTGCCTATGCATACTATTGCCATTGATTATAAAACATACTTATAGATCTTGTTGGCACGCTGCCATAACCTCAATTGTGACTATTGAATTTAGTGACCAGCAGTATTTTGCTTAGACTATGGTAACTTTCTCCCCAAGTGAAGATCTACCTGAATGCATATTTGGTGACATACGCCCTGAACCTGATGTTGCAGAGCAGAGTGTATCCAAGAAGGTGATTTATTTGATATTTTACAATTACAATTTCTCTATAGCTGATGCAAACTCTGGTCGCCATCCTATAAAGTGTGCGCTCTCTATGCTTGAGAAAGAGAAGGCATTAACTGAGGAGGTGTGCAAACAACAAGTTGTAGATCAGGGTGAAGTGTTATCTCCTGTCACTAAAGAACAATGTGTTACTTCTAATGGTAAAGAAGCAAGCATTCCTCCTCAGATTGTTGTTCCATGCCCTCCAAAAAAACGCATTGCAAGGTTATCATTTGGAGCTTCTTCCACTTCTGCTGCTGGATCTGGAAAGGTCATACGGAGGAGCTGGAAACTGTGTTCTAGCGCAAGAAGGCCGAGTAGGATGACATATTTCCTACACATTTAGCCACCTTTTAGGGATGCAGTATAAATTTAGCTTTGTTAGCAAGTTCTAATTGGTCATGGAGTTTTATTTTGATCTTTAGTTTTGGATGACTTTTGTCTCATGTGTTTCGGTCAGCTTTTTGTATGAAGATGTCACCTACTTCAACTCATCTTTGAAGACTTCTGCAAAAATAGTATTAAGTGCAACGGGGTATTTGTTTTGATCTTTTGAATTTACCAACCAGAAAGGGGCTATTCTCTGGTGTAGTATGTAATTATGGTAGCATGTATATAAGTGGTAAATTTGTACTTAGGGTTTACGCTCTGAATATTTCCATGTAATACTTGACCGTAGCCATTTCCAATGCCGTTGTGACTGAAGTGGCGTATGTTTTTTCACTTAATCAATGAAGATGTTTCTTTATTTTGATGACTTAAAAGGCTTCTCTTTAAATTTTGCACTTATGTTTTGCTATATTAAGGAACTCTTACATTGTAGTTTAAATTTGCAGAATGTATATGGTTTTCTTTGAATCTTGATTGTATGTCTATGTATAATTATTTGGGTTTTGGGCCTTTTCAAGGTTTAATCAAATACTACATATTATATTGCAAGAAAGGAATGTATTCGAAGCTGCTGTACATGTCAAGCCTAAAATATGGGTTCATTCCTTTACTCCTGCTTTTTAAAACTAGCGTGCTATATTGCATTCTATGTATTTATATGTATGTGTTAGTTCTCCAGTTTGTAAAGAAAGATTTAAAGTAAGCTTAAAGTTAGCTTTCATGTGTATTAATGTCTATATTTCATTACATGTTGTGCTCTTATAAGTTCTTGCAGCTTATATTCCACACATGGGGAGATCATTCCTTATAGTTTTTGTTTTTTCCCCCAAATTGCTTCATGCAGAATCATTGACTAAGCCACGCAAATTAGTTAAGCATAAATCCAAAGACACTCAATCTCCTATTGCAAAGTTATCTGTCACTGTGGTGCAATGCCTTCCAAGTTTGTCACCAACAAATAAGAAACAAAAGCAAGCAGCAACACGTAAATCAAAACTTAATCAGACCTTGATTGATGCTGATGTTTCTTCTGTCGGATCAAGCTCTACACAATATAATACTAAGCGTTTAAGAGCTTTAAAGGCTGAAATTAGCTTGAGTGAGCTTAACAATGGTATTGCTGACATTGTTAGGACTGCAAAACATTCTCAAACAAATGGCGAAGGAACAAAGAAAAAACCTGAAGGTATTCACACATATCTTACCTTTCTTTAATAATAATGGTTAGCTCTATTTATTGGAAATATTGTTGTTAATATATTTTACTTATGTATCAGTTGAAGCGGTTGCTTTAATATGTGATAGAGAAGTGCCTACGGAGCCTCTTCAGTTGCCTGCTCCTACATTATGTTCCAAGTGCTATGCAAAAAATTAGTTTGCTTATGAACCACTTTTCTTTTGTTGTCGGAATGGTGGTGTGCAATTGGCTGAGAATCCATGGCCACCACAGTTGATTCGACTTTTTACTTCTCAAGATGCAGCAAGTGTTCATTTCAGAACATACTCTCTCATGTATAATAATCTTTTTTGCATTTACTTCATTGGGGGGAACCATTGAAGCTAATACTAAAAAAGGAATATATGTGTTCAAGTTGCACGGTCAGATATATCATTATCTTCCTGACTTATTACCTAATGATGAGCACCCTAAGTATCTACATATGTATTTTTATGATGCAGAGCACAAAATCATGAATCGTACATCTACTTTTCCAGAGGTGCAACAAGAAATAGTTCAGCTTCTTATGCAAATAATGGAGTGCAATCCATATGCTCAGTTTTTTCGTTCACTAAGAGAAATTTCTGTTGTGGAAAGCACTGAAATTCATTTGAACAGGAATCCAGTTCTTGACCAGAGAGTCTACAATGCGCCAACTGCAAATGAGGTGGCTGTAATATGGTTAGAAGAAACATCGTCTAGCCAATATAGTAGTCCTCATATAATTTCTTATGGTAGAACAAATAGGGCTCATAGAATTATGCACTACTATGGGTGCTACGATCCACTTCAATACCCTCTTTTATATCCACATGGAGACTGTGGATGGCACGAGGGTCTAGAGAAAATAGATACAGCTGATAGTGAGATACACTTGCAACAAGAAGTTTGTCCGCTAGAGACAATTGATAGTGTGGAAGATTTACTGGCTGAAGAAGAAGCAAGCGAGTCCTAACTTTTTCTTTCTTGCTTTGATGCTTTTACCTAATCAATGGTTTATTGTTCCTATTACTGTATGAAGTATATATATTGTGTACAACCAAGTAATGAGCATTCCATTAGGAATAACTTTGTGTTGGAATAATGGATACTGTGAAAACTTGTGTATGGTGAATGAATGTCTGCATCTATGTCTTATAGGATTTTTCTTTTACTATGGTTATTAGCTATATGAATAAGATCTCGAGTAATATTAAGTGTGCTGTAGATTTATTATTTGGGGATAATTGGAAAACTTAAACTTGTAGCTGTTATGTATCTTATTTAGTAAGATAAACAAGCCATTAATATTTCATGTTTAGCACTTGCACTTTACTTTTCTGTAAATCTCATTCATGGAATTATTAGTTATTAAGGTTACCTGTTGAGATTGTTAAGCTTCCTATTTTGTGTATATAATACAGATGCAACTAATGGCAAAAGGAAAAGAGTAAAGAAGATTTCCTGTAAAGAATATTATGCATTTACGTTGCAAATAAGGCAAGGAAACTATTTGCTACGAGCTTCTCAATTGTTTCAGCAGTATATAGTTGACATGTATGTTAAGCTAGAAAACACGAGACTTGATTTTTTCCGTAGAAATCAGGCTGCCATTCGTGTAAGGAGTTATTGATTGTTTTGAGAGTGGAGAAAACAACTATGCAAATGTTGGTCATTATGTCATACTGCCTCCTTCTTTTTTGGGTGGTCCAAGAGAATTACGAAGTAGGTACTTAAATGCAATAACTTTGGTACAGCGGTTTGGAAAACCAGTCTGTTCATAACTATTACATGTAATCCTAACTGGTCGGAAATCAAACAAGAACTTGCTCCTGGAGAGCTTGCTAAGAATAGGCCTGATTTAGTTGCAAGGATTTTCCATGCAAAACTAATTGCACTTAAGAAGCAAATCATGGAGGAGAAAACTTTTGGGGAAGTTGCTGCACTAATATATGTTGTTGAGTTCCAAAAACGTGGGCTTCCTCACGCTCATATTTTATTAATATTGGCTCATGGGTATAAAATTAAAGATGCAGCTGCTTTTGATAACTTTGTAACTACGGAGATACCTTCAACAAAAAATCCTCACTTAAGAGAAGTTGTATTATCCCACATGATGCATGGTCCATGTATGAAACATATGGGTCGTATTGGTGTGTGTAAGTATGGATATCCAAAACCATTTGTAACTAAGACAACTAGCCATGAGGATAGATATCCTATGTATAAAAGGCGCGATACTGGAGAAACAGTAATGATTCGGAAGAATCCTATGGATAATAGATGGGTCATTCCATATAATCCTCATTTGTTAGCTCTCTTTGATTGCCACGTGAATGTTGAAGTGTGTTCTACATTCCGAGCTGTAAAATATCTTTACAAATATGTGTACAAGGGGCATGATCATATTTCTTTCAATGTTTCTTCTACAGAGAATTCAAAACCCGGGGATGAAATAGAGAAATTCCAATCTGGACGGTGGGTTTCTCCTTGTGAAGCTGCCTGGCGTCATTTTAGTTTTGGTTTATATGAAATGCAACCGCCAGTGTTGCCTCTCCAAATCCATCTTCTTAATCTGCAGACTATGTAATTCAGGGGAGATGAGAGTCTAGGCTCTATTGTAAATGATAGCAAGAGGCACAAAACTTCTCTAACAGAATCTTTTGCAATGAATAATGCAGATCCAAATAGAACGCAATATTTGTATCCAGAATACTCAGAGCATTATGTTTGGACAGCATCTGTGAAGACATGGACTAAGTGGGGAGTAAAATAAATAGCCATTGGTAGGATGACATTTGTAGCACCGTCTGAAGGTGAACCCTATTATCTGCACCTTTTGCTTAAAAATGTTCGTGGGCCTAAGTCTTTTGAAGATCTTAGGACTGTTGATGGTAACATTCATGAAACTTACCAAGAAGCTGCTCTCAAACTTGGCCTTATAGCTGAAGATGATGTTGTGGACAAATGTATGTCAGAGGCTTCTGTGACTCATATGCCTAAGGCTTTAAGACGTCTATTTGCTACTATACTCATTTTATGTAATCTTTGCAATCCACTTGCTCTCTGGAATAAATTTTATCCTCATCTTTCTGAAGATTTCGCAAGATTTCGCAAGTGATTCTATAAACCAACCTGGTAAAGTTCAATATTTAACAATTCGTTCTATTGAGCAGTATTTAGTAGAAATAGGAAAGAGTTTGCTTGAATTTGGGCTTGATGGTCTAATGTGTGAGACAGATGATGCAATCATAAGGACTCGAGATATTGTTGATGCCCTAGATGCACCTATACCTGATATATATAAGGAAGCATGCTTCAGGCTCAATTCTAAACAGCTAGATGCTTTTAACTCTAACATGGAACGATTACAACAGAACAACCAGGTGGTTTTTTTGTTGATGGGCCTGGGGGTACAGGCAAGACTTACTTATATTGTGCACTGTATGCAGCTACCAGGGCAATGGGTAAATTTGTCCTGCCTACTGCTACATCAGGCATAGCAGCATCCAACATAGTCACTGGCACAACAACGCATTCACGGTTTAAGATTCCAATCGATCATGTAGTTTCAGCCTCTTGTTGTGTTCCAAAGTAGAGTAGCTTAGCTGCTTTACTGAAAGAAACATCTTTAATAATTTGGGATGTAGCTTCAATGGCAAAGAAAGAAAACATTGAAGCTGTAGATGTCCTTTTGCGTGATCTGTGTTCGCCGTCTATACCTTTTGGTGGGAAAGTTATTGTTTTTGGAGGAGATTTTAGGCAAGTACTTCCTATTGTGCCTAGGAAATCACAGAGTGAAGCCATCGAAGCAAGTTTAGTGTCTTCAACTCTTTGGAACCAATTTCACAGATTCAGACTCACTGACAATATGGGAGTAAGGACAGATTACCAATTTGTTGATTTTTTACTTGCCATGGGGAACGGTCAGATGCAGAATACAGAAATTGCACATATCCAGTTGCCACAGCATGTAATGATGCCATTTGATGAATCTAAAGATGCTATCAATGGTCATATTGGTTTTGTTTTCCCAGAAGTAAAAATGGCAAACTGCAATGAAAGCATGTTTGTTGACAGAGCAATCTTGAATCCTCTTAACACTGTTGTAGATGACATAAACTGTAGCCTAATTGATCAATTCCCTGGAGAATATGTTTGTTATAAAAGCTATGATTTATTTCTTGATGATACAAGAAGTATTTATCCAACGGAGTTCTTAAATACCCTTTCTCCTAGTGGTAAGAATTAGTGCTAAAGGAAAATTGTCCTGTCATTTTACTTAGGAACCTTGCTTCTGCATCAGGTCTCTGTAATGGTACTCGTATGCTATGTAAGCATTTTTATCCTAATATAATTGAGTGTGCCATAATAACTGGCCATCATGCAGGAGAGCATGTTTTCGTTCCACAAATAGATCTACGTCCATATGAAACAGTACACTTAATTATGCATTCAAGTTTCAAAGAAGACAGTTTCCTATTAAACTTAGTTTTGCTATGACCATCAACAAGGCTTAAGGACAGACTCTGTCACAAGTTGGACTCTATCTAAACAGTCCTTGTTTCTTACATGGGCAGCTTTATGTTGGTCTATCTAGGGCTCAGACATCGGCTCAAATTAAAGTTTTATCTAAGCCAATGACAGATCAGGTTTCAGCAACGACAGTAAAAAATGTCGTAGCATTCAGCATTCTCGTAAAGGCGGGCATTATTTAGGGTCAACCTGCATACAGGCATATTCTACACTCAATTCCTCTTGGACACCTATTTTACCATGTTGGTTAGTATTAGGATTATGAAACTAAATAACTATATACATTTTCTTTGCAGGTTTAGAAAGTTGTGCAAATATCAAGGTATAAAATAGTTTTGTTATTTTGGAGAACTTTAATTGCTGATACAAAGTGAAGAAAGTCTCTATTGAATATACCTTGTCTATCTTGGTAAGCATTTATTTATGAATACTACTTTTAATAGCCTGAACTGTGATATTTGCTTACTTAGTTTAATATAAGTATTAAATTGTACTATTTACAGATAATTATGTTCTTTACATCTATATCTTTCTTAGAGACAAATACTATCAATATGGGTTTGAACAAAGTTGTTGAATATCAAGGCATCATCATACAGGAAATTATATATTGAATGTATGCTTAATAGGCAGCATCAATTCGCGGCATAGGGCATTTGGGTTCCATACAAAATAAACAGCCACTTTATATAACAAGAGCGCACCCAACTGCTGCTTTAAAATAATAGTCAGTTTGATGATACCTTATTATGGAGTAATCTATTTGTAACATAATATGTCCTCTGTAATATATTAATAGCAATCAGCTTTTGATACAAGAACTGATATGAACCCTTTCTAAAAACCTTTCCAATGCAAAAAAAAAAAAAAAAAAAAAAAAAAACGGAAGAGTATTGTTTCGGTTATTTAGTTTCATTATAGTATTATATCCAATGATAACATACTAATTGCTAGAAACGTATATGCAGCAAAAAATCGCACACAATATGCTATTAAAATATCAATGTGTAAATGAAAAAACGCAAATTAATTTCAATTAGTTGTTGATTAGAATTTCATTGTATTTATAAATCAACATAAATAAGAGTTTTAAACAGTACTAAAGGTACTGTGATTACATATATAGAATACATGTATTTCACAAATTACAAAAGTTGTATTTTAGATAAAAGAGAAGTTATTATATATTCTAAAGATGGATTAAAATGCATACATATTCAAAACAAACCTTCCATCATGTACAAAATTAAGATCAGGCATAATTAACCCTATATATATACATCGTAAATTCTCTCCAAATGATCAATAGAATGCTTATCATTGTCAGAATCGTAGTTTGATTCTTCGGAGAATTGAATTAGAGAGTTGGGTTCATACCATTGCTTAATTCTCCTAGCTTTTTCCTTCCTTTCCTCTAAAATTGCCTTTTCCTTTGCCCTCTGCTTTCTCTTTCTTTCTTCTTTATTCCTTTGTCTCTCTCTTTCTGCCATCTTCTCCTTTAACTCTTCCTCTCTCAGTATTTCATCAAGCTTAGCCTTCTTACTCAAAAGTTCATCCAACATTTCCTGCATTCCATCCCGCACTTGCTCAAGATATAGCAAATACCATTCACACTCTGCCAACAATTTCTTCTTTCCTGTCTTATCATCCACGGTTTCTTGCACTTCTTCCTAAATGTTTAGGGTAAAAATTACCCTAGACACGTGGCCAAATGGCCTTGCGACACGTGGCAGCCAGCCATAGGTCAACAGGGCGCCAATCCCCTGTTGACACGTGTCCTTTGAACCATAGATGGGGTACTGGTCTCCCCACTATAAATAGTGGGTCAGACCTCATTTATTGGGCATTCACAAACATCCATAAATACAAACACAAATCTCGAGCAATATTAATTGCAGAATCCTCCTGTATCAGCGAGGAGTAATTACTATTTCCGCACTTATTACCTCTTGTACGTTACTGACTTGATCGTCGGAGGCGGAGCTCCCATCAACCGGAGTCTTCGTGGTATTGCAGGTACAGGCGTCGGTTGCACATACTAGGGATTGTAACTCTCCCGCAGGACACATCAAAAACCCCTGAAACACTAATATCTTTGCAATTCTATGAAATTTTTTGATACCCATGCCTTGTTCGATGCAAGTAAAAAACTAATTTAATTAAATGGACGCCAAATTTGACTGTCTCCCTTAGTTTTCGGTTACCTGTGCAAATTTCTTTGCTATTAGAAGAGGATGCTTCTGCCATTTAATAGTGTTTAGAAGAAGAGAGAAGAAAGTACAAGTTGAAAAACCTAGGGTTTGTAGCTAATGATGAACATGGAGAAATGTGAAGAATTGCAAGGAAGCTAGATTTTATATAAGTGTAATTGGAAGACAACTCTTCAAATTCTACGAGTACCGTAGCAAGGCAAAGCAAAAGATATCATGCACCTATATGTTTAAATTATAGGTTGTGCAATAGTCACGACAATTACATGCAAAATTAAATTAAAAATTAAAATATACAAAGATTACGTATGGTTTATTTTTATAGGATTAATTAGGTTAAAAATAATTTGTATTCTTCACATTTATAAATCACAAACATTGTATTTTCAACTTGCAGAAACACGGTATTAAAACTTATTGATATTTTGGTGAAATCACATATATCTTTTCAAAAAATAATCTTATTTTTAAAAGTAACTTGCTTTAAAATAAATACGTGCATTGACAATTAATATGTATCAATCTAATAGGTGGTAAAGTATGCAATACACTTGTGGGGAGGAAAACAATTGATTAGAACTCTTACACTAATACAAGCACGTCCAACTAGATTAAAGTAATTTGATATGTATTTATATGCCATTTAATTATATAGAATGTTATAAGTACAAATCTATTACAATAGCCATGCATAAATAATATAGACAAAGAAGTATCCTTAAAGTAGGGAAATTCTAACATTGTAGAAGTAATCTACTCACTTTGCATTAACTACTTGTACTACACAATCTTACCCTATTTTTCTAATCTTACACATTCACATAAAAGATAATCACATTATAAGTACCATGAATGTCAAACATTTAAAAGACATATATTAAAATCCAAAGTTACAATTTTGAATTTTAACTATCTAAGACTACTTGATACATTATAATATCTAATAGATTAATTATTTCAATATAAGTTAAACATTGGAATTAACTTTAAAAAAAATTTACACACTATGAATTATATTAATTAAAAAAGGAACAACCCATTGTAAACCATTAAATAAAACTAAATTATATCAAGATCATGTCCTTTACTTTTAATAAATTAATTAAATTTTTATTGGTCCGTGTTCCTTTTAAACTCTGATCTCTATGCTAATAATTTGAACGAGATGCAAAACTTATAGGCTATACAATAGTTGCTCCAACTGTAACTAAAATCGCTTTAGAATATATTTAGATTACTTAACTTAAATTTTTGTGCACTTCAATAAACTTATTGATAATTTATAGTATTTATAACTAGATTAGTGCCCGTGTGATGCACGGTAGTAATAATCATTTTCCCACAATAAATTGTGCTATAATATAAAAATAAGGCAACTCATGTGGAATAAAAAAAAAAATGCAATGCATATAGAAAAATAAAATAATAATGCAAAAATTATTAAAACTAAAATTTATTGTTGATTAGTTGTGTTGAAAATATTTAAATGTAGTATACATTATATTACATTAATGATGCATATTATTTCCAATAAAACTATACAATCTAGTGACTATATGACTAAAAACTTATTTATAAATGCCTTTTTAATAAACATGAAAATATAAATCAAACAAAAGAATAAAATCTACAGTAAAACTATTAAACTATTAGCACAACATACATGTCAATATATAAATTACAAATAATATATCACCTTTATATCCAATAAAATAATTTCAAAGGAAATAAATACTACTCGGATCATTAAAGGTAATCATAATCAACAATTAGGTAACACTAACCTATTAATAGTACATTTTCTGTTTATAAGTTGATGCTCGCTATACATGATATCGTCGCTCTTTATTATTATATAAAAATGTGTATGAAACTATCCAATAATTGTAGTATAATCATTGTTTGTTTATTGCCTTAAAAGTTTATTTGTTAATGATAGTTATTTATCGAAAAAAAGAATACACAAGAAGATGTCACTTGTCACTATGTCTGATGTGTCTTCTGCTATGCATCTTAATTATAATGTCGAATGTAATAAATTTATCATCTCAATCACATGGTTCAGCAAAAGACAATAATTCCTTTTGTATTTACTAAGATATAAATTTATTTAATTAAGTAATAACAAAAAATTTGATTGAAATTTCTCATTTTCCTAGAATTTGACATATGATATAGTTGTCGAACACAACAGTTATTATATAGTCATGTAATACTCCATTAGTCTAAGAAACAAAATATTAGAGGTATTTGAAAAAAAAAATAAATTAAAGTGATGTTTAAAAGTAATTTCTTTAATATCAATTATATGAACCAATTTTATTATTACTTTTAGGGCAGAATTTCAATAATACTCCGGCTAAATGATGTCCAGGCGGTAATGATAGTATCTTGTACCTGAATCAGTGGCTCACTTTTTCTATAATTAAAATATAGTTAGAATAATATTTTAGGTAAATGTGTATGGAAGAATTAAGAACACAAAACAAAAAGACATACATTTTTATGTAAAGATAATATATAAGATTTGGAATATTATTATATAGTTGTATTATACAAATTTTCCAAAAATAAAAGATTTTTTGCTAAATCATACCACATAAGTAACGTCACAATTATTTGATCATGAGCTTATTTAACTTAATATTGTGACATATTAGTTAATGAAATTAGAAACTGAAATTTTTCAGCCTTTTGTCTAACATTAGAAGAACTATAGCCCTATTTCCCATTGAAGATGAGAAAATGGATTAATTTATTATAATATATAATTGGCAATTATCTCAGATAATGTTACATAATATGGATGTGGGTGGTAAAACTTTTAATCTGAAAATGCAATAATCGGATGTCAATTGAATCTAATTGCGGAGAAATTATGTGTCTTTTATCTTTGTCTGTCAAGCGTCAAATTTGGAGTGTTTCACCTATACAATGGGTCTTATAAACCACGAATTTTATACTAGATAATCGGTCCTATAAACCACAAATTGTACACCTTCATAATGGGTCCTATAATGGCTACAAAGCTAAGCACGATCACATCCCTTTCTCTACTCCCTCGTAACTAATCTTTATTTATGTTATTGCTA